GGTACGATGATAGGTCACCCTTGAAGTGATTCAGAGGACGCCACGAGGACGAGGCTCAGGTGGTGGCCGAGCGTATAAAGGGTAATACATGCAATACCTACTTCCCACGTGTGTCCACATCTAGACCTCGTGGTCTGGCAGGGGCGCCATGTGCGTGCCCCACGCTGCTTCACCCACGCCTGTTTGCGCCCCTAGCGCCCCCTCTGGCCGGATAAAAGGGAGGCCAATCTTGACCCAGTCTCACACCTTCAGCAAACTTCTCTGTGACCGCTTCTGACCTGAGTTGCCCTCCCGGCTCTCGGCCGGGGGATCCACCCAGCGCCGTTCTTCGTGTATCGTTATTCTTGTGTATGTGTTGTAACTCTTAGCAATAAAGAGAACAGCCACACCGGGTATCACTGACACCACATCAAGAACAGTATAAAACAAGAGATATCAGAACATCTCACAGAGATAGAGAGAGAGAGAGAGAGAGGTGGAGACTGAACTGTGTATGTGTGTGAGTTTTACTCATTCCATCACCCCCCACCCGACAGCTGGTCTACTGGAGGAGCTGCAGGCCCTCCTGGAAGGCCCCAGCGTGAGTAAGGTCGTCCTGTACCTGGAGGCGCAGAGCTCACCCTTCACGCTCCTCCTCAGCCAGGCCGTCAACAACCTCAAGGTCAGTTTCGAGGCCACAGTTTAAGCTTAATGGCTGATGCTCCGCTGTTAAGAGGTTTGGCTGCGATGAGGACGAGCGACCTCCGTGGCAGGGATGTTATTAGGTTAAGTTAGATTATGCAGGGATAGAATAGGTCGGGTTAGGCTAAAGCGGGTCAGACATGGACTGCACTACCAAGGCAGGTAAAGCTCCTTGTGACTTCGTCGGCAAAGTCAAGGTCTGTGACTGTGATATTTCCCAGTGTTGCCCATTTTCCAGTGTTGCCCATTATCCAGGCCATGCAGTGTTGAAAAGTGTTGGTGCGAGGACACAGCGTTCCCTCACTCCTGAGTTAAGAGGATAGAAGCTTGACAGGCCACATCACACTTAAAGCACTTTCAGTGCCGGTATATAGGCTAGCTATTAAACCAGTAATCCGTGTCAAAATTCCCTTAAGTCACAGAATCTCCCATAACGATTCGCGAGCCTTTTTGAGGTCGATATAGACTGCAAGCAGCCCACGGCTGAACTCACGATGGCTTTCCACAATGACTCGAGGCGCTAGGATACGGTCTATTATGGACTTGCCAGGAGTGAAACCAGTTTGCTCCGGTCTTTGGTGCCTTAGGGGGTGGTTGCGGATACGTTTCAGCAGAATGAGGGCAAAAACCTTGCCTGGTATACTCGCCGTGAGGGACCGCCGTGGCTGGAAGGGAAGGGTGGAAGCCGCTTTGCACCGTCGTCGGCGTCAGCTCCTTTGGTGGTGTTTATGATATATTTATACCCATGTCTATTCATTATCTGTGAGTTGATAGATTTAGATAAAGATGCAACTATGTATTTGGATGCAGATGCACACACATCCACATATATCCACCTCGCTCCCTGACCCCCAGGCGGTGCAGCTGCGCCTCCGGGAGACGGGCGGCCAGCTGCAGCACCTGGAGTCGCCCCTCGAGCGCCTCTACACGGACTCGGTGCAGGCGCTGACGGAGCATATGTACGACGTCCTGGCCTACCTCAGGATCATCTGGACGCACTCCAACCACTACCATAAACCGTGCGTTGCCATGAGGAATTTTTGCTTTTTTCTTTAGCTGTATTCTTTATCTCTCTCTTTCATTTTTGTCTATCTGTCTGTATGTCTATCTGTCTCAAACTCTCTATCTATCTATCTATCTATCTATCCATCTATCGATCTATCTATCTATTTACCCGTCTGTCTATCTCAGTCTCTCTCTCTCTCTCTCTCTCTCTCTCTCTCTCTCTCTCTCTCTCTCTCTCTCTCTCTCTCTCTCTCTCTCTCTCTCTCTCTCTTTCTCTCTTTCTCTCTTCTCTTCTCTTCTCTTCTCTTCTCTCTCTTTCTTTCTCTCTCACTAAAGCTAAATTGATGATTAAGCTTCCATGAGTAATTTGTCTGGTTCATTAAAGTGTATGTTGGTGAAAATATTTTTTATTTAGTAAATGCATTCGCACTTCACACTTGAGGTTGAGTGAGTATCAAATGAGTAATGTTAAAAAACGATAACGCATATGATGAATTAGTGTGAACAATGCATGAATGAAGAGAATTGTAGATTTAGATATGATATGTGTGGATGTATATTTATTCTTGTTGTTATTATTATCATTATTATTGTTAGTAGTAGTAGTAGTAGTATCATTATCATTATTTCTCTTTTATGATATCACTATTATCATTATCATTATTATTATATTATTATTATTATTATTATTATTATTATTATCATTATTACTATTATTATCATGATGATCATTATCATCATCTGCATCACCATTATATTAATTGCTCTATACAAATCTGTGTTATTTATTCTTAAAAATGTATAGATTAGGCCTTTCAAAAAAATCCGGTTTCTCATCATCTCCCGCATCTGAAAATCGCCGCCGCATCGTATTTTCTTTTTTCCCAAAAAAGTTCGACGAAAACGCGCCAAAATAGCCCGGCGTTCGCAAAATATCTTCGCGTTCACTCAACAAAACATTGCGTGACAAAATCAAGTGAACGGGCGACCCGACAAAACGTTTCTTGAAGCACTGCGCGGCTAACAGGGCGAGACTTGGAGGCAGTTCGCTTCGCCTTGCGGCCCGTTGGGAAACAACCAAAACGGCCGCCACTTTGGAGTCTTAAAAGCATATCTGTCCGAACTACAACTCAGGTTTCAATTGACCTTCCTATCTTTATTAGTCACTAAAATGGAAAATATGTATCTGTGGCACCAGTGGGACTTGCCCTCAGGAGTCACCAATGAGGGAATCTGTCCTCGAGCTGTAAAACTAGCAAAAACTCAAAAGCTCTATGTATCCCCAAATTATTATCTTTATTTTCATTAAAAATTACATTTTTGTACATGCAGAGGTGTCCATTTTATTGGCATTGCCTATAAAAGTAGTTTTATTTGGCCTCGATGTAACATCAAAAAAAAAAAAAAAAAAAAAAATCGCGTGCTGCATTTGAATTTTGAAAAAAGTTATGATGAGAAACCGGAATATTTAATAATCGGCTTTTTAGGTAAGAAACGATGCTTAAAACAGTATCATTAGTGGTATTTTATACTCTAACTCGTTTTCTCTCTTTCCTCTTTGTTCCCCTCCCCCCTCCTTCTCCTCTCCTGCTCCTCTTCTCTCTCTTTTCACTTCTTACCTCCTCTATTCTCTTCCTCCCTCCTCCCTCCCATGCCTCTCCCTCCCCCCCTAACCTATCCTCCTTCCCTTTTCCTCACCTTTCCCCTTTCCCTCCCACACCAACACCTCCATTCCACTTCTTCTCTTCTCCCCCCACCTCATCCCTATTCCTCCCCTCCCACATCTCGCTCTTCCCTCCTCCTTCCTACCTTCGCAATCCATCCCACTTCGTTTCCCCTCTTCTTCTCATCCCCTCCTTTCTCTTACCGTCCCTTTCTCATTCCCCCTTCCTTCTCTCTCCTTCCCTTTTGCTCACATTTCTTCTTCCCTTCTGGCCTTTCTCACCCCTCCCCCCCCCATCTCTCTCTCTCTCTCTCTCTCTCTCTTCTCTCTCTCTCTCTCTCTCTCTCCTCTCTCTCTCTCTCTCTCTCTCTCTCTCTCTCTCTCTCTCTCTCTCTCCTATCCTCTCCTTCTTCCCATCTTTCCCTTTCCTCTTCGTCTCCTCATCCCTCCCCATCTCCTCCAAATTCTCACCCTCCCCATCCCTTCCCCACCTTCTCCCCTCTTCTCCTTCCAATCCCCATCCTCTCCCCATCTCCTTGCCCCCTTCTCTTCCCTCCCCCCCCCCCCTTCACCCAACCAGAGAAGTGATGACCGAACTGTGCGTGCGTGTCTCCTGGGAAGTGACGAGGGCGTGTCAGGTCCACCTCCCCCTCGACAGTCTCTTCTCCCCGCCTTCCAGGACCTCCTCCGCCTCCTCCACCTCCGCCTCCTCCAGCGGCAGCAAGTCGAGCGACGAGGCGAAGGAGTCCCTGACGCTCGTGGAGGTGGCCATCAAGTCCTGCAACGAGTGGAGGCACTGCTATGTGGAGGTGAGTGGAGGGGAAGAGGGGATGGGAGAGGAAGTAGTTTTGGGAAATGGGGAGTGGAGTGGACCAGCAACATACCACACGCCCTCAAACCGCATCACCCACAGTCACCCTCAAAACCACATCAACAACGCTACAAATACCCCTTCTAACCCCCCTTCCCTCCTTCCCTCCCCCTCCAACCCCCAAAGCTGGCGACCCACTTCGGCGAACAGGACTACCCTGAGGTCTGGCTGCCGGACACCTCTGCCGTCTTCTTGCCCGTCGAGCTCTTCTCCAGCCGCTGCGAAGACCTCAAGTACATTGGGCTCAGCAAGGTCCAGCTCACCAGGGTAAGGTGGGGGGGAGGATGATGTGTGTGTGTGTGTGTGTGGGTGTGTGTGTGTGTGTGTGTGTGTGTGTGTGTGTGTGTGTGTGTGTGTGTGTGTGTGTGTGTGTTGTGTTGTGTGTGTGTGTTGTGTGTGTGTGTGTGTGTGTGGTGTGTGTGGTGTTTTCAGTAATGACTGTTATCATGCTAATATTCAATTTCATATAAGAACAGCAATATAATGACAAGATATATGAAGATGATGTTGACGATATGGTGATGATGATTATGGATAATGGTTTGATGAAATTGATGATAGTGATAGACAAAAAATGAAATAAAAATGGTAACATCATTGTGATAGCAGTAATAATGATAATGATAATAAGGATAATACTATCAGCATTACCATTGTTATCATCACCACCACTAGTGTTATTATCATTACCATGATGATAATAGCAACAATAGTGATCATGATGACAATAATGGCACTGACCCCCCCCCCCCTTCCTCCCCTCCCAGACACGGCGACGAGATGTCGGTGCGGGCGGCGGGGGCGGGCGAGGCGCGCCGGGGGAGCTCCTGGAGGAGAGTTGTCCCAGGTGGACCGGTGCTCGAGGACGCGCTGGGGCCGTCGGAGGCGCAGCCACCTCGTCTTCAACCTCACGTCAAAGGAGTGGCTCAAGCACTCGACCGGTGAGGAAAGGAGAGGGAGGGGGTTGGGGATGGGGAGAAGGGCAGGAAAGGGAGAGAGGGAGAGGAGGGGAGGGGGGCAGGAAGGGAGGGAGGGAGGGAAGAGGGGCAGGAGAGGAGGGAGATAGGTAGGAAAGGGAGGGAGGGAGGGGAGAAGGGCAGGAGAGTGAGGGAGGGAGTGAGAGAGAGTAACAGCGAAGTTTGGAAAATGTCTGAAAGTGGGTGGGAGTGCCATGCGTATATAAGGACAAGGGCATCCAAGGGTGATTTTAGACCAAATGTGCTGACTGGATTGTTGATTTAAGCTCTCACATATCACATGGCCATCCATATATTCATGTTAATGCACTGGAATCATAAAATGAAGTGCATACGCTTTAGATGAAAATTTAAGTTAACAAAAAACAGACGCCTTTCCGACAATTCATCTGAGAGCACCTTTGGAAGTGCACACCTCCATGTATGTAGGCCTATGTGAATGAAGGATCGGGAAGAAAGCAGGTATTTCTTATTCTCAAAGACTTTCTCTTTGTTATTTTCTTTCTCTTCTCTTTCGTTTGACTTTCTCTTTTTCTACCTCTCCTCTCTCTTCCTTAATCTCCCTTTCTTCTCTTACTGATTCTCTTCCATACTCCTACTTTATTCCTCCTTCCTTAATCCCCTTTCTTCTCCCTCTGATTCCTTCCCTTTTCCCATTATTTCTTCTTCCTCAATCCCCCCTTTCTTCTCCCTCTAATTCCTTCCCTTTTCCCATTATTCCCTTTTCCTTTATCCCATTTTCTTCTCCCTCTAATTCCCTAGATATACGTGAGGTATACTCCTCCCCTTCCCCTTACTTTCCCTTCTTACCCTCTTTTTCCCCCCATTCCTTCTTTGTATAATTCCCTTCCGTTCTATGTATCTATTAATTCCTTAACTTCCTTTCTTTTGCCTCTGGTTCCCTCTTATTCTTCCATTATTTCCCTTTTCTCCAATCTCCATTTTACATTCGTTTTCCATCTTTAATATCCCTTGTTTCTCACTCTGATTTGCTCACTTACCTTAACTTTTTTCCCTTCTCCCTTCCTTAATTTGTTTTTCTACACCTTTCCATTAATTCCCCTTTTCTAGTCTCCCATTCTTCTCCCTTAAATTCCCTCTCTTCCTCCTTTATTTTCCCTTTTTCATTTTCTCTCTAATTCCCTCCCTTTCTCTAATTCTTTACCCTTCCTTTATCTATCTCTTTACCATTCTCTCCTTTCTTTTATTCTCCTTCCCCTCTCTTTCTGATTCCCTCCCTTTCCCATTCTTTACCTTGAATCTCCCCTTGCATAATATCCCTCCCCTCCCTTCTTCTCCCTTCCCTTAACCCCCTGCCCTTCCTCCCAGGTTCCGCGAGAGCATGGAGGAGGTGGAGCGGCGCTACCAGTGCGTGATGGTGGCGGCGGTGCAGACGGTGGAGTCGGCGGCGCAGGGGCTGCGCGTGCTCAACGTGTTCAAGCCGCTCGCCGCCAGGAAGTCCCTCTTCTCCGTTTTCTACGTTATGATCGATCATGTGAGACGAATGGGAGGAGGTTCTTTTGTTGATATATGTGAGGTATACTCTGTATCACATAAATTAATGCAATTGAAACTTCATGGGCTAACACACATGCTATATGTGCGTGTATGTTTGTACATATTATAGTTTAAATGCATGTTAGCTTCTTTTTTCATAAACGATATGACTGAAACAAGGGGGAAGAAGGAGAGGCCGAGGGTATTTAATGCATTTTACATTTATCAATTTTAATTAAGGATAAGCTGATCGTGAATTTCCATCCCAATACCCCCTCCCCCCCCCCCCCCCAACACTCCCCTCGCAGATCCTGAACCTGTTCGAGCGCGACTTCGAGGAGGTCGAGAAGGAGTACGTGTTCCGCTCCATGAAGGTCGGCACCAGCGGCTTCTACTTCTCCAAGATGGCCAAGTGGGCTACCGACACGCGCAAGAAACTCGAGCATGAAGTCAATGTACGGCAGACTTCCGTGTGTGTGCGCGCGCGCGCGCGCGTGTGTGTGTGTGTGTGTGTGTGTGTGTGTGTGTGTGTGTGTGTGTGTGTGTGTGTGTGTGTGTGTGTGTGTGTGTGTCCGTGTGTGTGTGTTTGTGTCCGTGTGTGTGTGTGTCCGTGTGTGTGTGTTATTATTCATTTTCTTTATTATGGACTTTCCAATAGCGCATGAGTTAAATTGGATTAACTGGTATTCCTGTAAAGAATATGAGTAACAGGAAAAAAAATATTTGCAACAATATTTCATCTCGGGGAACATTCATCTTGGAATTCTGATGATAATGGAGAAAATGATAAAGATGAAAACATTTAAATAGTTGCAATATTAATGCAGTTTTAATAATGATGATGATGAAAATAAGGATAACGATAATAATAATAATAATGATAATAATAATAATAATAATAATAATAATAATAATAATAATAAAATAAGGATAACGATAATAATAATGATGATGACAAGAATGATGATGATGATTACGATAATAATATTGATAATAATGATAATAATAATAATATTATTATTAATGATAATGATGATGACAAGAATGATACTGATGATAAAACAGATTTCTATTATTACTAACAGTGTTGATGATGACAATAGTAGCAGAAGTATTTGTAACAGCAATAGCAACAACACCCCCACCCCTACCCCTTTCTCCTGACGACAGCTCCTGAAGAACCAGTCGTGGCTGCCCTACTACCCGCGGCTGGACACGGTGTACGAGCGGTGGGCGAGGACGGTGGCGCTGCTGCAGGGCGTCGTCCAGAACATGTACGCCGCCTGGAACGCGTCGCTGGAGCCGCAGCCGTCCAGGAGGCTGACGGCGCCCGTGTTCGTGTGGAAGCCCGGCCCCGTGCAGAACATCCAGGCCAATTTCGATGTGTGAGTTACGGCTTCCGTTGCTCTTCTGCTTCTTCTTTCTTCTTTTTCTTCTCTTCTATTTACTTCTTTCCCTTTATCTTTTGTCCCCTTCCTCCTCCCCCTGCTCATCATGCTCTTCCTCCTCTTCCTCTTACCCTCTTCTCCTCCTCCTTCCTTTTCCTCCTCTACTTCCTCCTCCTCCTCCTCTTCTTCTTCTTTTTCCTCATCCTCTTCTTCTTTTTCCGCCTCCTCCTCCTCTTGCTCCTCCTCCTCCTCCTCCTCCTCCCCCTCTTCTTTTTCCTCATCCTCTTCTTCTTTCTCCGCCTCCTCCTCCTCCTCCTCCTCTTCCTCCTTCTCCACCTCCTCTTCCTCCTCTTTCTCCGCCTCCTCCTGCTCCTCCTCCTCCTCCTCCTCTTCCTCCTTCTCCACCTCCCCTCCTCCACCTCTTTCTCCTCTTCTTCTTCTTTCTCCGCCTCCTCCTCCTCCTCCCTACTTTTCCTGCTTGCTAATCCTCCTCCTCCTCTTTTTCCTTCCCTTTCTCTGCTTCCTCCTCTTCTTCCTCCATCTCCTCCTGTCCCTTTCTTCCTCCTCCTGGTCCCTTCCTTCTCCTCCATCTCCTCCTCCTCCTCTTCTTCCACCTCCTCCTCCTTCTCTCTTTACCCATCTTCTTCCTCCTATTCTTTTTCTTCCTCTTCTTCTTCCCCCTCATTTCTCTTCTTCTCCTTCTCCTCTTATTCCTCCTCTTCCCCCTTCTTCTCTTTCTTCCCCAATTCTTCCTCCACCTCCTCCTCCTCTTCTTCTTCCTCTGTCTCCTCTTCCTCTTTCTTATCCTCTTCTTCCTCCTCCTATTCTTCTTCATCTTCTCTCTCCCCCTCCTCCTCCTCCTCCTCCTCCTCCTCCTCTTCCCTCCTCTCTTCCTCCTCCTCCTATTCTTCTTCATTTTCCCTCTCCTTCTCCTCCACTACTTCTACCACCCCCTCCTCCTCCTCTACTTCCTCCTCCTCCTCCTCCTCTTCCTCCTCCTCATCCTCCTCGTCCTCCTCCTCCTCATCATCATCATCATCATCCTTCTCCTCCTCTTCCCTCCTCTCTTCTTCCTCCTCCTATTCTTATCAATAAATTGTTTATCTCTTAGTCTTTCTTTCTTCCTTTCAGTTGACAACGATGATAATAAAAATGATAATAATGATGATAACAACAGTGGTGATAACTATAACAGGATAGCAATATCAATGAGGATAGTGATAATAGTATTAATAGTAATAGCAATAAAATTGAGTAGAATAATGGTAATAATAATAACAGTAACAACACTAACAACATTAATAATAATAATGATAACAATCATAATCATGATAATAATAATAATAATAATAATAATATAATGATAATGATATTGATGATAAATGATAATAATGATAATAATAATAATGATAATCATGAAGATAACAGTAACAACAACAATAATAATAATAATGATAATAATAAAGATGATAACAGTAACAACAATAATAATAATAAAGATGATAACAGTAACGACAACAATAATGATAATAATAACAACAACAACAATAATGCTAATAACATTGACCCTCCCCCACCCCCTCCACTCCCGCGACGCCAGCCACCTGAACAAGAACCTGGAGGAGACGAAGGCGTGGAAGGAGATGGGTTTCGAGGTCCCGGAGAGCCTCAACCACATCTTCCAGGAGAGTGAGGTGTACCTGAGTCTCAAGAAGCAGGTGAGGGCAGTCGTTTTTATGGTTGAAAGGGGGTGGGGGGCGTTTTGGGGTTGCCTTTGGGGTGTTGAAGCGGCTTCGTGGTTGTTTGGTCTTTCTCGTCTATTTTGGTGTTTTTCTTTCTTCTTTTTTTCTTTTTCATTCTCTCTCTCTCTCTCTCTCTCTCTCTCTCTCTCTCTCTCTCTCTCTCTCTCTCTCTCTCTCTCTCTCTCTCTCTCTCTCTCTTCTTTTCCCTCACTTGCTCTCTTTCTTTTCTCTCTCTCCTGTTTTTTGAAAGACAAAATAACAAACTTTCGAGAAACCGAATAAATTCTACTCTCTCTATTAATTGTTATTATGAGCGTTGTTGTTTTTGTTAATATGAATTGTAATAGAGTTCACTGACATCTTCACCCTCGCCTCACCTCTTACCTCGTTGTTTCGTCCTTATCCTCGCCCAACCTGCCCCCTCTCCGCCCTGCCCCACCCTTGCTCCTCTCGCTGCCCAGCCCCCTCTCCGCTCCTGCCCCGCCCCTGCTCCTCTCCGCCCTTGCCCGCCCTGCTCCTCTCGCTGTCCCGCCCCCTCTCCGCCCTTGCCCCTCTCACGGCTTCGTCTGAATCCTCGCCTAACCTCTTGCCCCCCTCCTCGCCCCCCAGGTGCTAGAGTGCTGTGGGAGCTTCAACAGCTTCATGACCCGGATGTCCCGCCACGAAGCGCAGATGTTCGAGGGTCAGGTGGAGAAAGTGGTCCGGGCCTTCTACCCGGGCCTGTCCTCGGTCACGTGGGTGCACCGCCAGCAGGCCTCTGCCCTACTGAGCAAGTGCAAGACCATCGTGGATGCCTTCCAAGCGCAGCTCTCCTACTACCTGACTGTGAACCAAAAGCTCTCGTCAACGCTGATGGAGGCGAAGGAGCTGGTGCTTTTCACCAAGAACGATGAAGTGATCTACGAGAACGAGGGCTTCCAGGAGGACCTGGAGCTCCAGCGGGCCCAGGCCATGAAGGAGGTGAAGGATGCGTTCCTGCAGATGGAACAGGTCTTGGACAACTTGAACAAAAAGATGATTAGCAAATCTATCCCCGAATCTGTCGAAGCATGGACTGCATATGTCTTCAGGATTGACAACCTCTTCTTGGACTGCCAAAGGGAGATCCTGAGGAAGTCCTTGCTCATGTTCGAAGGAATGCTGATGGGGTCCCGCAGCTGCCCCACTGAGCAGCTGGCCCCAGTCTTCAAGATTTCAGTCCGCCTTCTGGACGGGAAGATTGTGTGCACGCCATCAGTGAGTCGAATCTCAGAGGCTGTTTCACAGTTGCAAAAGGTGTTCTCTGAGAGCCTGAGCAAGATACCCTGTCTCTTACGGAAATTTGCATTAGAGAAAGCGAAGGAACACGACCACTTAGCAGCACTGCAAGATGAAATGTGTGATAAACTCCAGACAAAATTGACGGAAGAGTTTGAGAAGCAGGTGAACACTTTGAAAGGGAAGTTGGAAGAGTGGCAGCAGTACCGGGACTTATGGGAAGTTGACAAGGCAGAATTTTTCCAACATTACTTGAGTTGTGCCAACAGTGTCTACATCTTCGAAACCGACATCATGACATTTGAACGTAAGCTCAATGAGATTGAAGGCAGTAATGATAACATCAAAGTAGGGACTTTCTATGCAAACTGTGAGGAGCTGAAGGTACAGCTATCAACCCTTTGCCGTTCTTGGATATCAGAATTTGAAAATAATCTATTCAAAATCGCATCTGAGAAATTGGACACTCTGTATAGTTACGGCCAAAAGACCAATGCGCTTCTGGATAGTGACCCACAGGACATTCCGTCGCTCCTCACAGCAGCTGACGAATGCCACCTTGCCAAGAAGCAGTTGGCCTTGTATAGGGAAGAATTCACACCAGTGAGGGAGCAGTTCCATGTATTAAAGAAGTACCGCTATGTTATCCCTTCTGATGTGGATGATCGTCTTGCTAAGTTGGAAAAGGAATGGGATTCTGTGGAAGCTGCACTGACTAATAAAATCCATGAACTGAACACTGACCTCAACGCACACAGGAAAAAATTCAGTGATCGTTCAGAAATTGTAATGGAGGAAGTGGACGCCTTAAAGCAGTTCTTCAAGCAGACGTTGCCAACAAGAGTAGACAAGACCATTCCAGAGGCTAAGGAGAACTTGGCCAAACTCAAAGAAATGATGGACGACATTGTGAGCAAACTGGACATCAATGAGAATCTAGAGCTGCTGAGTCTGCAAGTGATTGAATTTTCTGAACTGACGGGGTTCCAGCATGACCTAGTTGCAGCAGAAAAGATATGGCTGTTGCTGGAAGAATGGCAGATAACGTGGGAAAAGTGGGCAGACTTAGTTGTGTGGGAAGTGAGTGTTGTGGCTCTGCAAGAAATGCTGTCTGTTTACAGTCAGAAAATCAGGAATATTCAGCCCTTTGCAGCTTTGAATCTGGCAAATATAAAAGAAGGTACTGTGATGGGTGAGAGCGAGTGGGAAGTCAAGGAAGAGGTGCTCAGTCACATTGAATTATGCAAACTTCTTGTACCTTTGACTCAGAATCTACAAACTGCTAATTTAAAATCTCATCATTGGGATCAAATCAAATACCTTGTCAAGGCTGACATTGATAAGGATTCTGAGAGCTTTACACTTGGGTACCTCCAAAAACTTAATCTAACTTCTTATAAAAGAGAGCTAGCAGATATAATGGTGGATGCCTCTGAAGAAACGAAGATTGTCAACAACATTAGAGATATTGAGAGCCTTGCCTCACAAATTACAATTGACATGAGGGCTATCCCCTCCATGGGTATCTCGGTCGTACAGTCAACTGTTGAGGCAAACTCTACCATTGCTGAACTCAACATGCGGCTGCAGATTCTGGCTGGATCTCATCATGCCAAACCCTATCTAGATGAGGTACAGGATATTCAGAAGATGCTCTCCTCCATGATCAGTTTCCTTGAAAATGTCGAGCTCTTGCAGAAAAAGTGGTCTGCCTGGGAGCCCTTCTTCCATGTGATGGATGTCAGATTCCACTTAGTTCAAGCCACGGCCTCCTTTGACTCACTCAACGACCGCTGGCGACAGGTGTCTGATGAAATGAGTGCAGAGAAGTTTCTCCAGCCATTGGCTCTGCAAGACGAACTTCAGGAGGAAGTCATCGGTGTGTCGGAAGGTCTTAACAGTATCACTAACCAAATCAAGCCATACCTTCAGGATCGAAGAGAACAATTTTCACGGTTTTGGCTCCTGTCAGATGACGATCTTGTGACGGCAATATCCATTGTTTTGGATGGAGAACATGCAAAGCCTTTCTTGCTGAAAATGTTTACTACTGTAGCCAAGATCAAACAGGAAAAGAACAGTCAGTTAAATGCAATGGAAGTTATTGGTGTCTATTCAAAAGAAGGTGAGTTCCTTGAGTTGAATTCTTATGTCCCAATCTTGGGGTCCTTTGACACATGGCTGCGCAATATGTCTTCAGGTATAGAAAACACCCTGAGAGAGGGTGTAAAGCAGTGTAGGAATAGCATGAAAATTGCAGGAGTAAGAGTGGATGAGGTAATCAAACTGTGGCCTCTTCAAGTTAATGTTGTGGCATTTCTGTTGCATTGGACAAGTGAGACTAGCCGAGCTTTGGCAAAGTTCAAAGGTCACATGAATGCTGAACAGCTACAATCCTTAAAGAAGCGTGTCCGGGATTCACAAGTTAGGCTCGACAGCTCCCTTCAAGGTAACCTTTCGAAACTGATGCGTGAGAGATTTAGACTTTTTTATTTGATTATCCTACAGTTAAGAGACTTCCTAACAGCAGCCTCAGAAAGTAGGAAGGGCTTAACAAGTGAAGGAGAGATGCCCTTACGCTATACATGGGACAAGGACTCAGACAATGTGCTGACACAGTTTGGAGCATCATCAGAGCTAACTTACTCTTGGGAGTACCAAGGGCTATGGCCATGCACAGTATTTACACCTTCGATTAACCGTGCAATGGTCAATGTGGCCCTAGTCCTGGCCCAAGGACTGGCAGTTGGACTCCACGGAGGAAACGGCTCAGGAAAGACCGAGATCATAAGGGCAATGGCAAATTTGGTGGGTCGCCATCTAGTCTCTGTGACATGCGCTCCAACCATTACCTCTGTCCACTTAGCTCGGCTCCTTTTGGGAACAAGCCTCTCACACAGCTGGCTAGTCCTGGAGCAAGCACACCTTCTGAACCCAGACGTTGTGCCAGCCTTGGGTGAAATGATCCAGACGATGCAGGCGGCACAGAAGGCAGTTGCAGGAATCAAAGCTGGGAAGCCTTCAAAGTCACAACAGCAGCCCATTAAGGTGTTCGAGGGCGTGAAGGTGAATGTGTCGCCGCTTTCCGCTGTAGTGCTGGAGATGAATCACAATTATCCGTTCTCGAGAGACGCTATGGACATCCTCAGACGACAATGCAGACCTGCTGTTACCGTCACTCCAGATATTCAGGTATATACTACTTGTTTTGTATGGTGCCACAGATTTATAATTAATGTCTGATGATATGCAGGTATGCTGTACTAATTAATTGTCAGCTATCATGAATTTGTCTTGTATAATTACATCCTGTATGATAGGTGCTAGGATTCTGTCTTAAATTAAGGCATTTTGCATAATAGATATGAACTTTTTGTATGATAGCATACAGGCATGAAGAGAAATGCGTATTTATTTAATTGTTGTGATGGATATTTGCCATGGTTAGTATTTTATATTTACAATATGTATGATGGACTGTAGTTATTTACAGAACATTTTTTTTTTTATATATTTGACCAGTCTACGTTTGGTTAATCCCCTTCTTGGCTGAGGAAGGAGGATGACATAGACATAAAACCAGCACACAGACACACATAGAAAGAGAAATTGTAGCATGTATAAATGGCTGCATGTGAATGTGAGTATGCATATAATCACGCTAAAACACAAACCACATATTCAGCCACGCACATACATGAATAAATAGAGATTTATTTGCACATAAAGAAATATCATTTGTTTCTCTCTCTCTCTCTCTCTCTCTCTCTCTCTCTCTCTCTCTCTCTCTCTCTCTCTCTCTCTCTCTCTCTCACTCTCACTCTCACTCTCACTCTCACTCTCTCTCTCTCTCTTTCTCTCTTTTTTTTTTTTTTTTTTTTTTTTGCCTTTGTACAAGATAGTGGTATTTAAGCCACTTCAAAAACCAAAGATCTACTGACATTCTATACCATTCATAATCTAAGATATTAATACCCTTCTCTCCGATTCCCAGTGTGACCATCGAAAGGCAAGTTCAATAGACCAGTATCTTTTTGCCAGTTATATGATCCTCATCTCCGGGGGACTTTGGAGAATCCTATGTCCCATCTCTTGATATCTCTCAGGCCTTGTAACAGATTGCCAGAAGGCCCTGATGACTACATTTTCCTTCCAGCTTTTCGGCTTTAATTCCTTCCCTCTGCTCGTGAATCCCCAGCTTTGTTTGTACCCTGATTCGCTTTATATCTGTTGTATGTCCTTGACGATACAGTGGCCTTGTCTGTCCCTGGGAGAGTTTAAAGCTTTTTGTACATACCTTTGAAGGCAAAAGGGTACTCATTCCTATTCTTCAATCACACTTTTCTCTTTCCTCCATTGACTAGTAGTCTACCTCACTTTGTTTTATAGATACTACTTTTAGGTCACTCTCCTGCAAAACTGAGGAATTATATACTGATCCCTATTTCCTAATCCTTTTCAAGAGGCCTCGCCACACTCGTTAGGCCTCCTCCATGCAGAGGAACTGTTTGGAAAATACCAATTCTCTCAATGACCCGATGTTAGATAGTAAATAGGTAGAACCAGAGTCTTTTTCCTTCCCTTCTTCTTTTGAACATGGGAATTCCCAGAGACATTTGACATTTTTATTCTCTCAAGGCCGGGCTTGATAAGGGTGTCTGGGTGCCCCTCCTATTGGCCTTTTCACATTAGATATGTAATAGATATACATATATGTATATGCAGATCATTAATTTATTACTATCTGCAAGACATATCATGTTCATATAGTCAATAGAAGTTTCAGTTGGAGGCAAAAATTGTAAACAAATAAGGCACACACTTAAATGTATTTTTCAGATAATCACCGAATGTTACATGGTAATCGAAGGTTTCAAGGAATGCACATCACTGGCCCACAAACTTGGCCAGACATTGGCCAGTCTCTCCACTTCACTGCCACGACGCCACAAATACCAGCTGGGTGTAAGAAGTATTCCTATTATACTTAATCTTGCCAAGGAAGTGATGAAGAGGCAGCCAGAAGTAGATGAACTTGATACCGTCCCCTTGGCTCTGAGAGAGTACCTGATACCACAGCTGAGGGAAGAAGATGCACCTATCTTCAAGGAAATGTTTCAGATAATGTTCCCTGAATTTGACATTGCTCCTTACGTTAATGACATTCTGAAAGATGGTGTGACAGCAATGATGAAGAGTAGTAACTTGATTGTCAAGGATAGCTATGTTGACAAGGTTCTACAGCTACATGATGCTATCTCAAGGAACCAAACAATCATACTCTTTGGGAAATCAGGATCAGGGAAGTCCACATCCCTAACGACCCTCGAGAATGTTTACAACAAACTTAACTCTGAAGGGAATGCCAGTTACAAGGCTACTAAGAGAGAGGTAATAAATCCACTCATAGTTGAAGACACGACACTTTACGGGCCTTATGAAGATGCGATTGGAAAAACAAATGAAGGCTTCTTGTCACGGCTGGTAAGGAAGTCTCAGAAGTCCAGTCCAGTTCTTGAAACTTGGATTGTCTTTGATGGACCATATGGACACCCATGGCTTCATGATTTCTTTGTCCACCTAGACGCAAGGAGCAATTCTTTTATGGGCAACAACCGACAGACTATTCCTCTGCCTACCAACTTGAAATTTATCCTAGAGGTTGCTGGGGACATTGGATGTCTAACCCCAGCAGAACTGACCTCCTGCTTCGGTGTGTTCTTCCCGGCTCAGCCACTGTTATGGGAAGAGGTTGTCCACAGTTGGCTGGGCACACTCACTAACTACAGAATATCCCGTGCCCTTCAGAGTTTGGTGAAGAAGAACCTCCCAAATTTCATAAACATCCTACAAGAGAGTGAAGTGAAGAAACCTCACATGATCATGAAGGCTAGAGCATTCGTGGCTATACTTAATCACTTTTTAGACACTGAGTTGACACAGGCAGACACTGAAGACTGGGTAGAGAGGCTTACACCAGCTTTTATTTTCGGCATCATCTGGTCCTTTGGTGCCTGCATATCCTCATCTGAGGCCGACGAATTTCGTGAAGTGGTGACGAGGATGATCGAAAATGTACCTGATGGAGGGATTTATGATTACTGTGTGGACATAACATCAGGTCAATTTAGGTCTTGGGCAAAATTCACGACAGAAATGGAAATGTATAACCCATTTGTGAACACCAACATTGTCATGACTGACCGTATTATAAAATACTCAAAGGTTTCCCAAATCTTGATGAGTCAGGGCATTCCTGTCATACTGAAAGGGAATCCTGGGTCAGGGAAGTCGACCTTGATAAATGTCCTAAGACAAACTATGAATAGCACCACAGATCTTGCTGTGGTCAGCTATACATCTTTCACCCAACCTAAGGACATCCAAAGAACAATCGAAGAAAACCTCATGAAACAAGGCAAGGATCTACTGGCAGGTAGAAAGTCAAAACTCCACTTGCTCGTTGATGATCTCAACTGCAGTGAAGGTGAAAAACACATGCATCAGGTCCTAGCAACAACCAATTTTACTGCAAAGTACCGCAAATTGTTCAATCATGATATTAAATCTTTCCTTAGACTTCCTGAAATTTGTTATTTGTTCACTTACCAAACGAAAGAGTGTGTCTCAGGAGGGCAGGACGATACCCAGATGATTAACAATCATGTTGAAAATTTCTGGATGGGGTCCTTTCATCTGCTAACCCTACCCTCTTGCGAAAATGCAGAGTTGGAAGGTATATTCTGCACACTCTTTGATCAGAACCTAGGCCACTTTGAACAGGAAGTAAAGTGCTTGAAGACTGTAGTAGCAGAAGGGATAGTACACTTGTACCGACGTATGGGTGAAGTGAGCAAGCAAGTGTGTGGAGATCACCTGCCTCTTGTTCACCACCCACGACAAGTAATATCTGTTCTGAAAGGACTTCAACTTGGGGATGAAGAGACACAGGATCGTGATAATTTCTTGAAGCATCTGGCTCATGAATGCTTCAGAGTCTTCCAGGATGTTGGTGTCATACAACCAAAAGAATTTGAATATCTGATAAATGATGTATTGTCAGAATATCTGTGCATATCCCTTGATAAAGTTTGTGACAATCCAGGCATGTTCCTTCTGACCCGCCTCGCTAGTGATGACAATTTATACACAGATGTACATGTTGACACTGTTCGAAAGGTGCTTAAGAGTGTAGGGCAGGCTCTGCTAGGTCCTGATGGACTATTTGCCATTTATGACAGTCTCATCCACCATACCATTCACCTGATAAGAATCCTTGGGAAACAAAAGCCAAGAGAAGTAAAATTCTCTAGAGCCCTAGATAGCATTGGAGGGCACCTCGTTTTAACTGGACCAGAGGGATGTGGCAAAAAAACTTGTGCCCGCTTGGTGTCATCTATAGCTGGGTTCAAGACATATGACATTAATGGCACTGAATCAGAAGCAGAAACTAAAGGAGAAGACATTATCAAGGATCTCACTGAAGGTATTTCGGTACTTATTATCATTGACTGGAATGTGTTGGGTGATTTAAGGAGCATCGCATTTTTGAATGATATTCTGGTTAAAAAACAGAATACTGCAAATCCTCAGGAGGTTCAGCATACCTTACGAATCTTGATTTCCACTCCTACATTAAAGGAAGCATATGATATTTTGAAGTACATTCCTGCAGTTTCAAACTATTACAATGTTGATTCATTTCAAGAATGGAATACCGAAGAGCTTCATACTGTCGCCAAGCAAATTCTTATGGAAAAATTGGGGCAGTCACTGCCAGAACTGAAAGCACAAGCTGTAGCCGAAGTCATGGCTTATATTCACCAAAATAATTCTAAAACAAAGTGGCAGCCATCTTGCAGGTTCTTAGGTTTTCTAAAGTCATTCTTGCATCTTCATGATAAACTATTAACTGGCATCATTGATGAGAAAGAGAAACTCAACACAAGTATTATCAAGTTTGAGGATACACAAAAACGTGTTACTGAACTCTCTAAACAGTTAGAAGAACAGCGTGCTCAGGTGACCTACATCCAGCAGACATGTGGCAGTGTTGTACTGAAGATGCGCAATATTAAGTCTGAGCAAGGGAGGCTTGAGCAGGATCTCAATAAGAACTTGGGACTTCTGAAGAGGCAAAAAGATGAGTCCATAAGGATCAGAGAACTCATCAGTAGAGACCTCACAGCTCCAAAACAGGAAATGAAAGCAACACATAGAAAGTTGGATCGTATAACAAGGGCTGAGTTAGAAACACTCAAATCCCTCTCTAGGCCTCCGCCATCAGTTGAATTGGTGTTTGATGCAGTGCTAACAACCCTGGGACTTGATCCTTCCTGGAATGAAGCCAAGAAACAAATGAGTAGTGGACTAAACTTCATCTCATCAATCAGAAAAATTCTAGTAGAAGAAACAGATGAGAAAATTCTGACCAGAATTCAGGCATATTTGAAAATGGAAGATCTGAACATGGAGAAAGTTACAGAGGAATCATTTACAGCTGCAACATTCCTTAGTTGGCTTTGTGCTTTTGAAAAATATGTAAGAGTATACAAAGACTACCATCCTTTGAAAGTTCAGGCAGACATTATTACAAGAGAAATTGAGGCAACAGAAGCAACAATTAACCAATATCAAGAAGACTTGACTGGTTTTGGTATGGAGCACAAGGTCCTAATGGCTCAATTGAAGGAAAAGGAACACCAGCTGGAAGTAGCTGAGGAAGAGATGAAAGTTCTCGAAAGCCGAATCCAGCTGGCCCAGAAGGTAATGACGCAGCTTGGAGAAGACAAAATTCACTGGGAGGAAGCATTATCGCAATGTAGCGTTAAACTACGAAATATCTTCGGTGATGCAGTCCTGGCAGCGGCTTATGTGACTTATTTGGGCACTTTTACCCATGAAGAAAGACCTGATGTAATAAAATCTTGGCAAGACAAGATGAATGAACTCTGCATATTCAATACTGAAGACAGGACCAGCCTCGACATTCTAGCTCCCATGGAATCCCAGGCAAAGTGGCACGAAGAAGGTCTGCCAATGGACAATTACTTGCTTGAGAATGCAGCTATTATATCCAACTCAGACTTGCCACAGCTTATCCTCGACCCTCACTGTCTACTTGAACCCTGGATTCACAAGAGGAGAGATGCAATGGAGATCAACCTTGAAGAAGAGGAGTTTATGGACGAGTTTGCTGAGGCAATATCTATAGGCAGATCATGCATCATTACTCTAGAGGAGTTGTCCCTCCCTATCAAAGTATTGCAGATTCTTGAGATGGAGCGAGTAAAATTGTCTGGCAAGGATAAAACATTACTCAAAGTTGGAGATGAAACCTACGAGTTGCACAAGGATTTCAGACTCTTTATTATTCTAAAGAGTAATGTTGAATACTTAGACAACAACATTAAGACCCTTGTGAATGTTGTAGACATGCAAAGCAACCAGGAGGGTATGATGAAGTTGCTTACAATGAGAGTTGCTTCCCACTGTCAACCAGACCTTATTGAATCCCTAAAGAAGAGCGAATTCGACTTGCTGGAAAAACAAAACCAATTAGCAGAGCAAGAGGCAACCATAAGAAGCCTTATGGCTCGTTTTGATGATGATGTGCTTGAGGAGAGCACGCTGATGGAGATGTTACAGGCAGCATGTGCCAAAGCAACAGATGCAAAGAAGAAGTGCCATGACTTACGCAAGTCCCTTGATGCTGCTAAAGAGGGCATAAAGACTTATGGCAAGATTTCGGGGCTCCTTACCGAAATATACATCCTTGTGGAGCGACTCCCACTATTCAACCCTTCTTTGGTCATTGGGATTGACAGGTTCAGTGCCCTCGTCATTGGCGAGATGCAGCCTCAAAACTTTGCCAATGCCTGGGGCAGACTTCTCGATGCTAACACGGTTATCAAGATGCTTCAAACGATATTCAGGTTAGTTGATAAATGTCATGTATTCATTAACTGAGAATGCATTCAGAGAATTCCATGGGTGATTCAGATTTTAATCACTAGTGTAAGCACATGAATTAACTCTTATCCTGTTCACAAAGTCTTTCCCATACTTAAATATTGTATGTTACAGCCAGTAAAATTTGCGGATTTTGCGATTCTGGTTAGGGGGATGGGGATCCCATACACTATTATCAAATACAAAAGCAAGTAATTAGAGAAGCCAGTAAAGTACTAGAGATGACATCTGAAGTCATAAACATGCAAAGTCTTCCATAATGACCAATTTTAAAAAATACATTAATGAAAAACAGCTTTTGTGCAGTGTGGCATAGTGCTACAGAACATATAATTCTTTTTGCTTCCACCTCACTTTATATATATATTATATATATATATATATATATATATATATATATATATATATATATATGTATATGTATATATATATCATAAAAGTGTTGTTTAGTTCACCAGTGTAATCCTTATCAACTTTACTTTCAGGTATTTCCAAGATCAAGTTGATGATATTGCACTGGTGACAATAGGCCTTGTGTTAGCCATGTGGTACGAGTGTCACATCGGTCTCACTACCCCCCAGTTTTGCTCTCTCCTGCATGCCTCCTCCTCCTCACAGATAGGAAGTCAGCTCTCATCTCTTGAATCCGAGAAGAAGGAACCAAAGGGCGAGATATCTTGTGCTGTGCCCAAGTCCTCTCATCCTGTATGGTTGACAGATTCACAGTGGCTCGAAATACTCTCCTTGTCTAAAGTAGAACCTTTCACAACTTTAATTGAAAGTCTAACGACCCATGAAAAGCTTTGGCGAGTATGGTATGTTACAGAGCAGCCAGAAACAGTGCCACTACCCAATAAGTTGGAAAGAAAGATTCGTGGGGTTGCCAAACTTATCTTGATAAACTGCCTCCGTCCAGACCGCCTGGATGAAGCCTCTATGATTTATGTAGAACGTGTACTGAGGGTGGAGGCTGATCCTACATCGGCTAAAGCATTACTTGCTGTTGCTGGAAAGGGATCACCCACTGAACCAGTTATCATCTACAGTTCTGCACCTCTTGATGTGGAACACATCTTGGGGCAAATACAACCATTGTGTCATCCTGTCCTCATATCAAACCCAGATTCTGTTAATGTTTTGGCTCTCAGTGAAGGAAGAGAGGACTACCTGAACCTCATCTTTCAGAAGTGTTGCCAGAAAGGATTTTGGCTCCTTCTGAAAAAGGATACAGAAGCTGAGTCATGCATAAATCACTTATGTAAACTTTTAAAGGATAAGAGTATTAAGGAAGCCCACAAGCGATTCCAGATTTGGATGTATTTACAGGAGGAAGACACACTACCGACCAACTTAATGATGTCCTGCCACAAAGTGTACCTAAGCCTCCCACAAACTGTCAAGGAATCAATAATACATTTATACGAGCTCATTGGTGAGTCTCGTCTCA